CGATCTCATTTAATTTCAATGCAGAATGACAAGTAAACAGTGGACCTCACAAGATTAGTATACAAGCCGTTTCCAGTGTCCGTCTATGATTAAAGAGTCAGTTTGACGAATGATTCTTCGGTGTAATTATCAAAGTAATCCACTTTTCTTATCATTTGAAGGTCTACCTTGACGTAAATGAAGACTGATGATGTTCAGCAGAACTCACACCTTCATGTGTGAAAATAATGCTTGTACAGCCAGTCATAAGTTTAACGCTTTTATTTTATTTTTTTGTTTCGCTTTTTTCAAAGTGAAAGAAGAAACAGAAAATTATACGTCTTGAGTTAATATCTACTTCTGTCTATTTTACACATTTGGAAGTTGGAATACATATTGCATTCGACGGTTATTTTAATTATCTGTCTCTTGGTACTCGAAGATGAATGATTTATGATTCCTAATTTATAGATTCTTTGAATGATATAAAACTGATTTGATGCATAAATATATATAGATAGAGAAACATTATTTCGTAGAAAACAGCTTTGTAGTTATACATATAGTAGTAGTTATATATACTCAAAATACTGCATCAATTCATTTTATATAACAATATAAAATGTTTTAATTCATGAAATATTTACATATATTCTTCAATAAAATTATACTTTGTTTCTTATATAATTAAAGTAACTTATACAAAAGAAGTAAGCTATACTTATTTTTGTAATTGCAAATATATGTTTAAAGTTTCTATTTTATTATTATGATGCATAAATGTATATTGATAACGAAACGTTATTTCATTGAAAAGAACTTTGTAGTTATATATAATCAAAATATACATCGATTCATTTTATATAAAAATATAAATGTTATTAATTAACATGAAATATTTTCAAATTTTCTGCTACAAAATTATACATTGTTTCTTATATAATTAATGTAACTTGTACAGAAGGAGTAAGTTGAATTTATTTTTGTAATTGCAGACAAATTTTTAAAGTTCCTATTTTATTATTTTTAAATATTTTTCCTATACACGATTGCCTCAATACTCTTTTATTTAGAATCAAAATATCAATTAACTTAATTTATCTTACAGTGGAGAACCAATTAGTGACAAGTATTTGAAAATGTGTTTTGCATCACAAAGTTCTAATTCGACAATTCTTGGTAAGTTGGAATACATATTGCATTCAACAGTTATTTTAATTATCTGTCTCTTGCTACTCGAATATCAATGATTTATGATTCCTAATTTATAGATTATTTGAATGATTTAAAATTGATTAGATGTATAAATATATATAGCAAACGAAACATTAGAAAAGAGTTTTGTAGTTATGTATACTCAAAATATTACATTAATTCATTTTAAATAAAAATATAAAATGTTATTAATTAACATGAAATATTTTCCTATTTTCTTCTACAAAACTATACTTTGTTTTCTGTATAAATAATGTAACTTGTATAGAAGAAGTAGGCTATATTTATTTTTGTAAATGCAGGCATATTTTTAAAGTTTCTATTATATATATATATATATATATATATATATTGCCTCAATACTCCTTTATTTAGATTAAAAATATCAATTTACCTAATTTTTCTTGTATTGGAGAACCAATCAATGACAACAATTTGAAAGTGTGCTTTGCATTAGAAAGTTCTAATTCGATAATTCTCTTTTTTGATCCTTTGTAAATACTTAGCAGCGAGGTTACAATTAAGCAGTTAATCCTTTTGTTTTTCTATTAATAAGAAGATTAACTGCTTAGATATAAAATTATAAGAATTTGTAACTATTAGGTTGTAATTTTATATTTAAAATTTTTTTTATGATTTCATATGTTTGATATGGAGTGAAAACGAATTAATTTGTTGGAAAATATTTGTTTAAAGCAGGTTTACGTTAAATTTTCTGTTTTTATATTTTTAATTCTTTTTTTATCATTTCATATAATTTTTTTAATCAATGTATGTGTTTTTTATCATTTCATATGTTTTATGTGTTTTCATATGAAGATGAAGGAAGAAAAAAGAATTAATTCGTTGGAAAATATTTGTTTAAAGCAGTTTTACGTTAAATATTTTTTTTTTTTTTTGTATAATCATACAGATATTATCATTATTTCACTATTCTTCCTAAAAATTCATGTTAACATAACTATTCATAATATTGTTACAATTATAATATCTAATAGAAGCATAAGATTATTAGTTATCTTTTATTTATGCCAACACCATATAGAATTAATCGGCATTAATTTATTTTATTTAGGCAATAAATTTTTACCATCAGCATTTAAGTTTTCCCATTTTTATAATTTGCAATGTCACTTAAAATGTGTAATCATTACTTGAAAAGCTGAAATTCTGTTTGTTTATGATATTCCATGTAAAAAATTCGATAGATAGATATCACTTTAGAAACAGATGAACATAGTGTGTTTCTAAAAGACTTCTACTTATCATTTTAGAAACAAATGAACATAATGTGTTTCTAAAAGACTTTTACATATCACTTTAGAAACAAATGAACGTAATGTGTTTCTAAAAGATTTCTACATATCACTTTAGAAACACATGAAGAAAATAATAAAAATATTAAAATTTAGCATATTCAAAAATAATTTCCACTTATAATCCTGCCATAAAAAATTTTATTTTTTCAGATGAAAAAAAAAAAGTATATTTAGTAAAACAGAATATATTGGGAAAATAAAATATTTTATTTAAGAATGTAATTTAAATAATGGCATTCAAACATTAAGGATACGGAAGTTTTATATTGTAATTATGGTTAGTAAGGAAATTTCATAATAATCCTAACTTCAATTCTGTTATCAATACTATATAATGATATTAATTCCCTTGATTGCAAAAAAATAACTCTTTATTTGCAAAAAGATATAAGATAAAAAATATTAATAATTTTTACCTATAAATAGTATCTTGGACAAAAATATGTTAAGAAATTGTTTATGTGAAACATTTATTAAAATACTAGCATCCAAGAATTTTAAGAATTCTAATGTACCCCAGAATGATTTCAACTGGTACCACATATCAACTCCATCCAAAATCTGCTTAATCCTTACATTTCACTGGTCATCTATAGAAACCTTTTATGTCCCAGCCTGTCAGTGAGCAATCAATTGAGACTTCTCAATAGGAATTTTTAAATGTAAATAACTTCTAACTTGGTAGAATTCATAACTCCTTTTTTGTGCCCTGCCCAGCTTGGAATGTCCATTGTGACAGGAAGTCTGTATTGTGCACCTTCCTGCCACACAGGGTGGTTGGTATTGAGAGGGATCTCATGTCCCTGGAGTGACTTAGGTGCACACACAATAAAAATGTCCTGATGCCTTCGATCTGTATGCTGAACAAGCTGCATAAATGTCAAAAATTTTTAAGGGGCGAGGTACAAACTGTGAAAGTGTTTGCAGGTTAGATTTAATTTTGTTTTATGCCCAGGGGGAATTCATACATTCAGTAAAAAATATTCAAACTGAAAAGAATGACCAACATGTGATATAAAATTGTACCTCTAATACTCATATTGTTTTTAAGGGTTTTTAAAAGTGTGCTAATAAAGGATACATTATGGCTAACTTCCATTTGTAAAATATTCTTATGTTCATATAAAACTTTCAGATATAAAAAAAAATTTGTAGTGTGCAGGTTGTGCAACTGGATTGTAACTGGTTGTAATTGGTTTGAGATACGGGAGGCACAGGCTGAAGAGCACACAGCTTTGTTTACACACGCACAAATACCCCATACATACACTTAGCAATCAATTGAGTCACATATATAGTCACAGGCAGTAGCAATAAACCAGTAATTAATCATACGTGAAAATTTTGGAAATTAGAAAAACAATTTATTAAGTTAGTTTATATTTATCGTAAGTTATATATTTATAAGAACAAATACTCTGAAAAATGAAAGATATTACTTAAAAAAAATCGTATGTACTTATAGGATATAAGTATGCCTAATTTATTATGCGAAATAAGGTATTACTGCTTTACAATGTATTTATTTTACAATGTATTTTATTTAAAGGTATAAAGTGATTTTTTTTCATGAATTAAATATAATTTTGTAAGATTATTTAAACTGAAGTTTGTAAAAAATAATTCATCCAATTTAATCACTATCTGATACGTACATTATTTTTCTATATGTATTAAGTTTGAAATTTAAATTTTTTAAATCCTATTATTAAAGTGAGGGAAAAGTTATTAAAAATATCAGGATGGAAGTTTTTTTAAATATATAAATCCTCCATAGGAAGATCGTAAATTTAGGAATGGAAATATTTGGTGAATGCCATTACTCCCTCACCAAGCAAATGCATAAAATGTCATTGTAAAGGATGAGGAAGATATTCTTTTCTTCCCCACAAGCTTTTTCAGCAGACCACCTGCAAAAATACAACCCAAAAGCCACACGAAACGTGTTGCAACCATAAAGAAAATTCTAAAGACCCCAAGCTGTCTTCAACAGACGAATGATGGAAAATATGGGTGAATTTTATATTGAAGAAAGGACGTAGTAAGAGGGAGGTGGAGAATACTCGAACAAGAATAGCTTTCGAATGACAGTTTTATTCTCACCTCTAAACCCCTTTCTTAATATTTCAAGTGGGGATTATCAACCAAGATAGTTTGAAATTCTTCTTGGAGATTATTGAATACCTAGATGATATCGATAGGCAAGGAATTTGGGGGAATTGAAGTAAATCAAAATTTGTTTTGTATCTAAGGCATCTTAACTTCGTTTTGATTATATTTTTTTCCCTTTAGAATGACATATAATTATATTATTCTTTTTTCTGTGACAACATTTTAGGGTTTTATTCTGTTATGAAATTTCTGACATAAATATGTCAATTTTTAATCAGGGGAATAGTTTTTTTGATAAAGAGGCGAGAATTCAATAGGATCGTTCCATATGGTATAAACGCTTGAGTAATCTCGTTGTTATTGTTATTGTTGTTATTCTCGTTAGATCACCGAAGTCAAGCATCATTGGGCGCGGTCAGTACTTGGGTGGGTGACCACCTGGGAACACCGCGTGCAGTTGGCAAATTTGGGACCTGAATGGCCGAGTGTCTAGCGCTCTGGCGCTCGGTGCCACAGGTTTCGGGTTCGAATCCCGGCGGTGCCATGGATGTTTGTAGTGGTTCGGAATCCACTTTAAACCGTAGGTCCCGGTCTCCTATGACTGTAAGAGCGTCACGGAGCAAAAGTCAGGCTTCTACCTACGGGTGCTCCATCACAACAGAAGCTGCTTCCTTCCCCTTCAATCATGAGCACGTATGGGCTCGTGGACTTGGCCAACCAAGTGGGATAAGAAACAACAACACGCTTGAGTACACAATATTTAAAAGGACACAAACACAAATTGTTTAAACATATTTAATCAAAATATGCTCTATTTACACAAATACTCTATTAAATATATAAAATCATATATATTATGCTCATATCATATACAATTGCATCATAGCAATTCTGCCATCAATTACAAAGCATTTTAATGTCAGTTTCTAAGAGCATCATTGAGAATATCTGTAGTAAAGACTGTTTTGCTAACTTTATAATTGACAAAGTGTTTATTCTTTAAAAGTTATCCTAAATGCTTAAAGAAGTTATAGTCAGTAGAAGACAAATTGGTGAACCTCGAATTTCATGTTTGGAAGTATGACTTGACAAGCTTGAGATTTTGCTTTATCATGAAGAGTAATGCCTTTTCGATTCACCAACTCTGGTTTTTATAATAAAAATTTCTGATGGTCAATATCAATTTGTTAACAGTAGTACTGTGAATTAATTGTTTGACCTATTCTTAGGAAGTTATAAAGTTTAATTCCACCAAACTATCACCATTGTCTTCTTTGGATATAAGCTAGGTTTGGGCGATTCTTTAGGATTTTCATCTACATTTTTATTAATATGCTGAGTATTTATTATTATCGTATAGTATCCACGATTCGACAAAGTAATAATACGGTTCAAAACGAAACAATTTCTTTGCCCGATACTGAATGAAGTATAAATCTACAAATTGAGCAAATTTGAGTTTTTTTGCGTATGTGTCAACTCATATGGAACCTATTTGTCAAATTTTTAAAAACTTTTTTAAGCCCTTCAAGATGTCTCGAAACTATTTCTATGTCTACTCTAAGATCAACAGCAAATTCTCTAATAGTTATTGAAGAGTTAACTTCAATTTTTTTCATATTTTTAGGTCTCTCATGGGTACTCATCTTTCATTGTGAAAATATTAGCTGTATCATTCCCAAATGTAGCGTTAATGTCTCATGTTGCTCTAATTTCAAAATGGCCAAATTCATATTCATACAGAAAAATGAGGGGGAGGGGGGTCCATTTCGTGGGGTTCCATGTTTCTATCTGTTAAAGATTTTCTTAAAAATATTGAAATATACGGAGAAAATAAATAAATAATTGTAATAAGTAATAATTAACTATAATAACTAATAATTAATTATAATAAATATTAATTAATTATATAATTTATTACAATTATATCCTCCCTTGATGGGGATTATATAACATTCTATCGATCCTTGGATGATATTGATATTAAGGGACGATATTGGCTATAGGGGATAACAATTATATTATATTATTACATATAATATATATGCATATATAGTCCTATTATATTTAGTCATTCGTCAATCGATTGCTGTTATATCGTTCCTTGGTTCATATGGACTCTCCGTCGATTCCAATAAATGTTATCCCCTAATAGGTTGATATTTACCCTCACTCAGCAACCCTTCAGAATGTTATATTGCCCTGTCATGGTTTACTATCGACTTTCAATCTAATGTTATATCGTTCCTCAGGTTCTTATCATTCATTTATATTATTTCCTCATGTGTTGATATCAATCTTTATATCATTCCCATGGACTAATATCGTCCATTTCGATAATCATTGATTTAGCCTGTGTTTGAAGAGAAAAGTAATCCTGGATATGAGTGGATAGTGTGTTAGATTTCTGAACGGAGGGTGTTCGGTTCGAAATCCGATAAGTGAAGTGAAATTGAAAGCTTCTATGCCTATGGTGAGAAGACATGTTGTTGTTGTTTGTTGTTTCTTATCCCACTTGGCTGGCCAAGCCCACGAGCCCATATGGACTCATGATTGAAGGGGAAGGAAGCAGCTTCTGTTGTGATGGAGCACCCGTAGGTAGAAGCCTGACTTTTGCTCCGTGACGCTCTTACAGTCATATTAGACCGGGACCTACGGCTTAAAGTGGATTCCGAACCACTACAAACATCCATGGCACCGCCGGGATTCGAACCCGAAACCTGTGGCACCGAGCGCCAGAGCGCTAGACACTCGGCCATTCAGGTCCCAAATTTGCCAACGGCACGCAGTGTTCCCAGGTGGTCACCCTCCGAAGTACTGACCGCGCCCAATGATGCTTGACTTCGGTGATCTAACGACAACCGGTATATTCAGCATGGTACGGCCGTTGGCTATACATAAATGTTGTAATGAAGAAACAGAAGACATAAATGTTGTAATGAAGAAACAGAAGACATAAATGTTGTAATGTAGTTGATGTAGTTGACAATGACACAAATTTGTTCAGTAGAAAATCTTTCTGTTGGGCGAAATCTCATCGCTATCATGATTCATTCTAAATTGTTGTAGTGCAATGTGGATGTTGTGTAACACGCCCTCCATGATGCATTCTGTGTAACATTGAAGCTCATACATATCTACCATTGTTACGACAAAATGCTGTAACAATGGTAGATATGTAGCAGCTTGATGCAGATGGTAGATTCAATGGCCTAGCATTGGAAAACAACGGGATATCTTTTTTTTTTTTTTCTTGCTTAAATTTAGCGTTAAAAATGGCTCACTTATAATACTGTGTTATTTTAATTAATTATCATTAAGTAAATATTTGCTACGTTATTAAAAGCATTAATTGAATGAATTTTTTGGTGTAATATTCAAAAAGCGATTATCCCATCATGGTTGCTGACTTTTTTCAAATAATCAATATGTTTATGGAATGAAAAGTAAAAAGTATTGATGAATTAAAGAATGGATAAAATGTACTCAGGTTTAAAAAAATTAAATAATTGATAAATTTTCAATTTGGATTATTTATTTTGATTTTACGATGTATATAAATTCTTTTATGAGTGTAGAGAAACACTAATATTTCAAATTGATTGTTGAGTAAGATGAAAACTAATATATCAAGTTCATTGCCAAGTCAGATGACCGCTATATTCTTATTTTTTTAATGTTTTTATGTTTTATGTTTTGATTTTTATATGTTTATTTATACTATCCTAAATATTTTCATGTGATTAAATATGTCTCCAGCATTTTTTGTTCCCTAAATTTTGTAGCAATTTGATGTTTAATCATAACAGATTTTTAACAGATTCATTTTAATCATAACAGATTAACAGATTTTAACAATGAATATTTAATTAAATAAAAGTATAAAATGAATTGTAAATCTGATTAAAAACTCTTATTTTTAATTTATTTAAATAAATAAATAAATATTGCAAAAGATATATAGTATATGTATAAAAGTAGAGTACAATATATTTTTATTATAAAAAAACTAGAATTTATTTTTTAACCAATGCGATTTTCAAATTGATACAAAGAGCGAAGACTATAAAACAAGTTTAATATATAAATATTTAAAAAATATTCCAGTCAATATATATTACAAACTAGCAGATATGTTCTGTCATTGCCCAATTTCAATAAATGGCATATTTTATTTTGATAACATTAATAAGTAAACGTATGAAGGAAGATTGCGGAATTAGAATTTCAAAAATTTCAAAATAAAAAGGGCTAACATAATATTTTTTCACCACAATGGACGCTTTCATATCTTTCTTATTAAGGTGAGTTTCTTATTAAGTAAGTAAATATGCAAAAAATTCAATCTAGTAACCACTTTACAAAAACTGATTCGAAACATTTAAATACGAAAATATTACATGCAATACTGATGATATAATAAATCCAAATAAATAAAAAAAATTACATAAATAAATAGAAACCTAGCAGTAAATAATAACCATCAAACCATCAATGAATCAATGAGCTTACCATTACAAAATTCATTTACAGTTTGTTATTTCGTTTATCTGGCGAACTTATTAAGCAATAATAATATAAAGTACCAAATTATATTAAATTAGATTATTTCAATTTTATATTATTATTTGTTAGAGAGCTCTGCTACATTTTAGACTTCGTTCTAATGCCCTTCAAACACTGTGAAAATAAATGTCTTTACATAAAATATGGAGATTCAATAATTGCCTTTTGTAAAATAATAAATGTTTAAGTTTTTTTTTTTTTATCCCACTTGGCAGACAGCAACATCTAGACCAATTCCAAAAACCTGTTTGACTACACGGGAGGAGTGAAAGGGGGGGTGGGGGGAAAGGCAGGTTCTGTTGTGATGGAGCACCTGTAGGTAGAAGTCTCACTTGGCTTCATGACGATGACTTTTTACGGAGTAGCGTGGTCAGCCCAACGCTCTGCAGTTATATTAGACCAAGATCTACGACTTAAAGTGGATTAACATCATACCTCTGCTATATACCCTACAAACATCTATGGCACAGCCGAGACCTGAACCCGAAATCTGTGCTATCTGTGTATGCTTTTCTTATTTCTTTATTGGTGCAACCACCCCATGGAGGACCGTCTACCTACTGGCAAATTTTGAGACGAGGTAGGGTTGTCAGCCCTACGTTCTATAGTTATATTAGGCCGAACCTACTACCGGGATTTCGAACCACTCCAAACATATATAACACCACCGGGACTTGAATGTGATACCTCCGGCACCGAGCGCCAGAGCGCTAGTCACTCGGCCATCAAGCATCTACAAATATTTTTTAATTGATTATGAATAAAAATAATGCAATATTATAATATAATTTAATGGCACTTTTAAACAATAAAAAAATATTGTTTTTTTCCAATGCTGGACATTTTGCAACTTCAGTGGCAGATATGTGTTAACTTCAGCATTGCCTACGAT